CCGGGTGTGGGGGGTCGGCCAGCCTCCAGGGTGGACGTGGACACGGAGAGTCTCGCCCTGCCCACAACGGGCACAGCAGCAGCTGGCCAGAGCAAATCGTCCCCAGGCCGCTACTCCCCTGGAGCTCCACGACTCAGTGCCTGGGCCCAGCCATGGGCCCCATCTTGGGCCCCCTCTCAATCGGAGAAATCACTACCCCTGCAGCCATCACCCAGGCCTCCCTCCCCTCCCCTTCGCTCAGCCCTGGGGCGGGTCCTGGGGTGGGCCCTGCATTCTCAGACACCAGAGAGCCTGAGTCTCCTGTCTCCTATCCTGCCCACCAGCGAGGGCCACTGTCAGAGACAAGCCAGGAGCAGGCAGAGTGGTGAGGGCAGACTCAGGGCAGCAGCCACTGCTGTGGGGAAATGGCCCCTCGGAGCAAGCTCAGCCCAGACCTGCCAGCAGGCACCGAGGTGACCATTTTAAAGGGGAGGAAGTGCTTGGGGTTGGCTTCTGTGAAGACGGCCAAGCTTCTGGTGTTTCAGATATGAACGAGAGCTGAGCGAGACATGCCCAGAGCAAGAGAAGGGCCGTGCATCGTGTAGGTGACCTGCGCTGCCCACGGGCCGTCAGAGCAGGCCCGGCAGTGACGTTCGGCGAGCTCTGTAACTTTGCAGCCCACGGCGCACCGGCTGATCCCCGGCTGGGCCCACTGGCTCTGTTGGACGTGGCTGGGCCCACGAGTCACCTCATTGGCTTAGCTAGATGCCCCCACAAAACCTGCCTTGGGCAGGGATCTGTCTGCCCTGATGGGTCTTCTACCTAGCCACAGAGGTGGCCGCTCCACCCCTCACCGTCCCCATTTCCTGGCTGTCTCTTGCCTCAGGAGCAGGGGAGCATCTGAGTCAGGGAGGTGAGGGCGGGCACGCAGGGCCGACCCGTCGCACCCCGGGCAGCAGCATGACCAGGAGCCAGGCTCCTGCCGTCTCACGGAGGGGGGAAGGTGGAAGGGCCTCCTCAGGGCTGCCAGGATAGCACTACAGGGTCCCGAGTCCCCCTGGGCTGGCCAGGAGCTGTGGTCAGGCTCGTCTGGGTCTGTACAGTCCCTGTGCGGTGCCCACACCCAGCCCACCAGCACCACTCGCACCACCCAGAGATGAAGAGTGGAGTCTTGGCCGAGTCCTGGCGGGTGAGGCTGCAGCGTGTCACATCCCCACTGCGGGAGTCTAACCCCAGGTTCAACCCAGGGGCTCCAGGTGCAGCCGAGCCCATCCCAGGCTCTCCAGCCCCATCAAGTACCCCCTTTCAGCCAGCACCGGGCCCAGGCCACTCGCTTCTGCCTTGGCTAAAAAGGGAACACTGGCGGGAGGCCCCGACCTCGAGCTGCACCCCAGCCCCTGGGTGGCCACAGCCCACGTCTGTCCCTGGCTCGTCACACCCGTGACCGTGACCCTGTCGTGGCTCTTGCCCTGCTTTTAGGCTCGAAGAGGTTCTGTGTTTTTCCCAGTTTACCTTCCTCTTCTATGACAGAAGGAGCGAGGAGGAGAGAGCATGTCCCCCAGGAGGGTCTTGCCACCACCCCTCAGCAGCCCACGGGCACATGCGTGCCCGGTGTACTCGGTCTCCAGACCAAACCAGGAACCTTCCCGTGAGCCCAGCCTCTCAGAGCACTGTGCGCCTGCTGCGCCGTGTCGGCCCATGCACTTCCGGCGTGCAGATGGGAGCAAGCAGCACCACAGCCGAGCCAGCCCGGACCCTCCACACCGACGGCCCAGCGCGCACGCCGGCACCCTGCCTGACCCCCGGCCCGGTGTCCGTCCCTGCTGCGCCGCAGCCCGGCCTCAGCTAGGGCCCGGGCTCCTGGGACAGCGTTCGGGAGGCTCTGGCCCCCTTACCTGCCAGGCGGGGGTGCCGTCCAAGCCTGGCAGTCCCTGTGTGCAGTCCTACTCGGGGCTGCAGGCGTGGCTCACACATGTGGGGGCCCCAGAGCTAGGAGGAGCACGCAGGGAGTGGAGGCCTCAGGATCCAAGGAGGTGACCCCTGGTTGGGACAGGACTAGGACCGACATGCTGGCCCCATTTTCCTCTCAGTTCCTGCTCAGCGGAGCACAGGTCCCCCTCGCCTGAGTGCTGGCCCCCGCCTGGGCGCCTAAGCCCCTGCCTGAGCGCAGGTGCCTCCTGTGTTAATCTCGTCCTCTAATCCACTGTCTCGCCCGGCCGGGTGGCAAGGTCCGTGCACTGGGGCAGGCCGGTCTCAGGCGCCTGTGTGCTCTCCCCACTCCAGGGCAGGGCAGCCTCGTTCTTGCAGGACCTGGGCCCTGACTCCCAACTCCTGCCACCACGGCTCCCCTCGGAGCCCAGGTGGCAAGCGCGTGGCAGTCTGGGTGCTCTAAGAGCACCTGTACGGCAGGGTCAGACACCCACAGTGCCAAGGCTGTGGTCTGTCCCCACCCTGTGCCAAGCCCTCCTCACAACAGGGACACATGTTGCCGTTGCGTGCTCTCAGCACCCCGCCAAGCACCGCCCCCACAGCCTGGACCAGCGGGCAAGTGCCCACTCTGAACAGGGGGCAAAGGCCAGGCTGGCACTCAGTACCGGGGCCGGCCGGTGGCAGCTCCCCACAGGAGAGCCCATCCAAATAGCCAGAGTCGTCCCTGGAGACTGACATTTCAAACCAGTGTCCTGTTTGTGCCAAAAGCACCCGGCCTGCCCCAGGAGACAGCGGTGGCCTTGGCCAGGCTCCTGGGAAGGACATGCTTGGGACGCAGGGACCCCGTCAGCTGAGCTCTCAGGAAACACAGCCCTTCCAGCTGGGAGGCAGGGACACAGTGGGCGGTCGGTGGGGGTGTCGGACAGCAGAGGGCAGGGAAGCAGGTGTGAGGGCCCTGACTGCTCCCCTGCAGGGCAGGGTGCTGAGAGACAGAGAGCTCTCCGCCTCTGTTCGCCTTTGCCGGGACGAGACCCCGGCTGCACTCCAGTGTAGAACTAGACAGGTACTGGGCTCAGGTGAGTGGGCCAGGGCTCAGGCTCCCACACGACCAGCCAGGGCCTTCCGGGTGGCTGAGGGACCCACCTGGGCCGGCAACTCCTGGGGTCGCTGGTGCAGCATGGCGGCAGCATGGAGCCACAGCCCGCCCGCCTATCTGCTGCAGGCACCCTGGGCTCAGCTTCATGCCAGGTGTGAGGCAGATCCACACACGTGGGGGCCCCAGGGCTAGAAAGAGCATGCAGGAAGTGGAGGCCACAGGACCCAAGGAGGCGACCCCTGGTTGGGACAGGACTAGGACTGACGCGCTGGCCCCAGGCCCTGCTTCGCCAGTGCTGAGCCTCGGCCCGAGGTTACCTGTGGGTGTTGGCGGGAGAAGGGGGCGCTGCCCGAGTGAGGCTTGATTGCTGCGGTGAGGGGCTGGGCTCCCGGGTCCCAGAGTAATGGCCAGGGGTGACCCAAGCTGGGGACAGAAGGGGAGACAGACACGCATGGGGACAGGGTGCTGTGAGGAAGAGGAGCCACGGCCCCCATTCGGTACGGGTGAGAGGAGTGTGAGCCATGTCCACGCGGCAAGCGCCCCGAGGTGTCCTGATGAGGACAGTCTGAGGACCGAGCTGAACAGGTGCAGAGTGAGCAGGCTGTGGCGGGACGCAGTCGGGTCTCCGCCTCCACGGGGGCTGGGCCCGGGCCCCTGAGCCCTTCATGGTGACATGGGGCTGAGGGACGGCTGACCAGGGCCAGGATGGGCAGGTGCCCGGTCACCCCGGAGCCTGTGCTCAGAACTGAAAGCACGGCCCTGCGCCTGCTGGCCCACTCCTGGTGAGCTGTGGTAGCCCCCAGGGCCCCGAGCCCGAGGTCGACAGCGGCTGGCAGCCTTGCTCCCTCTGCGGCCCTGGGGAGCACGCGCTTGCTGCTGAGCAGGGGCCCAGGTTGTGGCATCCTGCCCTCCACAAACAGCACGGGCCTGTACTCGACATACACGTCTACACAACGCACACATGCCAACACTAAAGGATGCACAAGCATGCAGCCACACACCCACACGGGCCAGGAACAGGCACAAGTGTAACCGTACACACGAGCACACAATACGGTCATACACACCAGCACAGCTGCACACGCATGCACTCTGGAAGCAACCACAGAAGTGCAGTGACAGGGACCACGGGGGCACCACAGGCTCTCCGGCTCCCGGAGCACGGGCAGCTGGGAACCCCACACACCCCTTTTCACCCCAGGACTCCTATTGGTGCCCAAGTGGTGGCCACCCGACACACCCACCTGGACCCCAGTTCCCCCAATGCACCCAGGCCCACTCCTGGGCAGCTCGAACCCCTCCGAGGTCTCTGCCCTTTCTGGGCTGTGGGTCCCCACAGGGACACCTGTTCCAAGCAACTGTCCTTGCTGCAGCCTACATGGCTCTCACTGAATGAGAGGAGCACCACAGGCCACGCTGGCCAGAGAGTGTGCTACGTGCCGGCTGAGCCACATGGACCTGCGGGGCTGTAGGGGCCTGGAGCCCAGGGTCTCCCCCGCCAGCCTCCAGAGACCAGAGCACACGGCAGGGGCTTGGCCTACCCCATGAAATAGCCCAGCCCTTCCCCAGGCCCCAGGGACCCAGAGGTCCAGGTGCTGAGGCAACACGGTCACAGCCCAGGCCCTAACAACTCCGTGAACAGTGGGCACAGATCGGCAGCAGGAGTGGGGGTTGCCTGTCTTTGGAGTACCCCAAGCTGGGAGTTAGGACCCAGGGACCTTCCTGGGAAGGCCCCCCGTGAAGTCCCAACACCCAGTCCCACAGCTCTGAGGGACTCAGGAGGCAAGGCGGGTCCCAGGCCACAGGCCAGCCTCCAGCCACGAGGAGCCCCATGCTGAAGCCCTGGTCCTGCCCACCAGCCCCTTGGGACTCGCGCACTGACACTGAGACACTACAGCTCAAACTCCTGTCTCGGCTGAGAGGTGTCCAGTGGGTCTGCACAGACAGGCATAGATTGGGCTTTCGAGAAAACGTTCCCTTTTTAATATGCAGCCTCGCTCAAATGAGAGCCCCGCTGAGACTCCAGCCCGAAATCCGACATGCAGGTGCACACCAGGCTGCAGGCGGCGGCGGCTAGCAGGCCAGAAAGTCCGGGAAGATGCTCTCCGCCTCGTCGCGGGGGGCCGGGCCTGGGCAGCCCAGGGCTGAGTCCCAGGGCTCCAGCGAGCTGTCCTGGAACTCCTGGGGGCTGGGCTCAGGGTCCCCTAGGAAGGCAGGCTCCGTACTGCACAGCAGGCTGCTCCTGGCCGCAGCCCAGCCAGGGGTACCTCCTCTGCCGTCCAGTGACCCTGGAAGCGAACAGGACATGTTAACAAGCAGGAAAATAGCCACGATGAAGCCCAGGGCAGTGGGTGGGTGAGGGCAGGGCCCCAACCCTGAGGCAGAACAAGAGCCCACACCCAGCTAGCAGGGCAAGCCCAGACCAGCACAGAAGCCTGACCTCCATGAGACCAAGGGGAGATGGTACCACGTCCCACCCACAGCTTCCATGGGAAATCGGGGGCAGGGAAAAGGGGCTCACACGTGTGCTCACTCAGGGTCCCCCAACTCCAACAAGCACAGGAAACGTGCTCAGAGACAGGCTGGGCCCCAGGCCACACAGCAAGCTGGGTTCGTGCCACCCAATGCCCTCCGGCCGCATGGGGCAGCCGGGGCCTGAGGCCTGTGCCAGCATAGGGGGTTGGTGCAGCCCCACTCACCCAGCCACCAGTCAGGGCTCGAGGTCAGAAGGAACGACGTCCCCTTCTCCTCGTCAGACCCCAGCCTGGACCTGGAGGGAGAAGGCCCCAGGTGGATGCAGGCCCCCAGAGCTCCACGCACACAGCCGGTCCTCACAATGCCCCTGATGCAACGGGAGCCAGGGTGCCGCCCCTCTCACTGCAGCCTGCCAGCCCTGCCTCAGGGAGCAGCCAGTGGCCAGGGCGCTGTGGCCGGTGTGCCCCGTGAGCGGGCCTGCTGTCTCCCCCGGCCGCCCATGCCCAACTGAAACCCACATCATTTCTCCTTCAGCCAGCACCAACGGCAGGAAGGCCCAGAGTCTCTGCACGTGGCGGGCATGCCC